AGACATGTTTGTGTCTCCTCAGTCGGTTGTAGATGATTCAATGGCCATCCCAGCCCCGGCGAGGCAACTTATAGGACATGCGCGGACGCGATATGAGCATGCGAAGCCATCAACTGTTACGGCGCCCTCTGGCGACCAATCGTGGCAGGAGCACTCATCCTGGGAAACAAACAAATCAGAAGCAAAACAAGGGGGAAAAGGGATAACAAATAAGAAAAGGAAGAAGATGCCTAGAAACATATTGCAACGAGACTCAAACAATACATTTATAACCAGACACAGAGGGGTCGTGGCCAAGCCTTTTTTTTTTTTTTTTTTTTTTACACCTTGAACGGAAATCAATGGAAACGCCAACATCATAATTTAACAAGACTTTACACACTTACTAATATTTACCGTAATTCAATGTGAAAGCCCTGTCACCAAAACGTCAAAAGAAAACGAACCTTTAACGACGGGGCACCGTAGTCAGAACCTGTTTTTGTATTAATTTATGTTCCCCGAAGGGAGTGGGCCGAATCCCGGATGTACTGCTATACCGGGCCAACCCGTGGCCGGGACGAGGCAAGCCTCTATTCCACGGCCCAAATCCAAAAATCAGTTTAATATACTGGCTGTTCAATGAACAGCGTTTCAGATATTAAGCTGAAAAGAACAGATACTGTTTTTTGATTTGGGACAAAGAAGGTCCCGGGCAGGTCGACTTACCAGTTCGCCGAAGTACAGTGTGCTGGGGTCTCGAGCCCCCCTGCCCTAAACCAGAAAAAACACAAACACCCAAAAGGACAAACACCTGAGAACGGAAAAGTCACCGGACGACGAAAATGTCACAAACGACGAAAAATGTCCCAATCTTATATCAAGAATTTCTAAAAAGGATACACAGAAAACAGTGATAAAAAGACTAGCAGTTAAAAAGCTAAAAATACGTTACAAACAGGTATTCTACTACTTTAAAAACACCAAGTAAACTTTAATTCGATAATATTTATCGAAAAACCGAAGACGAGGCTGTCTACAGCAAAAAAAAATTATTCTTCGGGGAAGTCCCGCTGCAAAAGAAGAAAAACAGTTAGACAAAACGCGCCAAACAGAAGCAGAAAAAGAGGCAGATGAGAAAAAAACGTCGCGTCCCCTCCAAGCCGGTTATGCCAGCCATCACCGCACCTGCCCGCCCCGACGAACAGGCATCACAATTGCAATACCCGCCCGCCGGCACGGAACAGGCCCAATGGCGCGACTCGCCCGCCAGCAAGGAAAGAACCTGACGAACCGTGAAAAAAGAAAAAACAAAACAAAAGCAGACAAAGAGGCGGATGAAGAATAAACAAAACAACGGCAATAAACAATAAAGGATACTAAGTCCGTCTCCCAAACCTCAGTATGGGGATACGCCTGTCCCGCTGCAGGAGACCCGCAGCATCGGTGAAGTCTCGATCTTTCCAGGGGACAGGCGCCTCTACTCCTTAACCTGAAAAAAGGGGGGAAAAAACTAAAATTAACCCTGACAGACTTAGCATCAAACTACACAAACTTACTTAAATATCTAGGAGGGGGGAGAATAAAGCCGTTGCGGGCAAGACTAGAAATTGATGAGAACGCGGTCGTCTCTGATAGAAACAACAGAGCCGCCGACGTTCCACAAAAGAAAAAACTTGTTTCGATCTAAACGCAAAAAATCCGCCTCTATGCGCTTATGAATAAAAGACTTAGTAGAACGGAGAACGGTCAGACGGTCAACGTAGTTGCCGTCGAACAAGGCTTGGCAGCGGGACTTCCAAATTTGCCACTTCAAAACGGAAATCAAAAACCAGACGAAACGGTGTGTCTTGTTCGTGGGGTTAAAACCCTCTGCGAAAAATACCACTGCTGGGGAGATGGAAAAAGTGGGCCCGCAAACACGTACACCCATGTACGTGGCCCAATCCCACAGCACGGTAACAAAGGAACAATCCCATAGCAAATGCAGAAGGGACTCATTGCTGTTACAATTAGGCCGAGGGCACTTACCCCGGCCAATGCCCCACGAACAAAGGCGCTGAGCCGTCTTCACGGCGCTCCAAACAATGCGCCAGTTTAAGTCCCGCAGGAAATGATCTAAAGAGTTGTTCACAATAAATGAACAATGCAGGACGGCATAATTGATGTCTGTGCGCGGAAGCGCCACTGACACTTGATTTAAAAACACATTGTAAAGATTATTTACAGTGACGGTGTTCCAGTTAATAGACAGTACATTAGGGAGAGAAAGGATGAGATGACAGAACTTGACATAAATGCGAGGGACCGTCGAGGAATGAGGACGGCTATTAGAGAAGAGACCAGTCGGAAGAAAGTTACGAAGAGAAATGGAACACCAGAAAAGAGCTAAAAAACTCCAAGGCGGAGCTACATGACTACAAAGCGAGCTGAAACCCTTAATAAAAAGAGCATCAGCTTTAAATCTAATATTAAAAACACCTAGGCCACCGCTGTCGACAGACTGACAAACAGTGGACCGGCGTACTAGTTCCGTCTTACCGGACCATAGAAAAGAAAAGATGATCTTGTTGATCCTCTTCTCCACGGTGACCGGCAGCGGGTAGACAGGAGCTACATACAAAAGGTAAGATAAAAGGACTGTGTTAATTACAGTCACTTTGCCAATTAGTGACAAGTGGCGTTTATTCCAGTTTTCTACTGAAGACTGGAGTTTTACTAGGCGGTCTTCCCAATTTCTGACGGCCATGTCTCCTTTGCCGACCCAGAAGCCATTAATTTTAATGGGATCTGTTGTCCAAGAAATGGGGTAAAGATCCCCGAGTTTCTCTCGCCATTCACCTAAAACAAAACCTTGAGATTTGGTGACGTTAAGTCTTGAGCCACTTGCACCTTGAAACAAACCTATAATGCTAAAAAGTCTATGAAGCGAGGAAATATTGCGAACAATACAAGTTGTATCGTCCGCATATTGTAAAATTTTGCACTGCAAATTGTTACTGCCAGGGATAAAAATACCTTGGATGCCCCTATCGTTACGGACAGCCGCAGCGAAGGGTTCGATGAAAATAACATAAAGAAGAGGAGACAGGGGACAGCCCTGTCTAACACCTTTCTGTAAAGAAAAGGACTCGGAAAGAAAACCGTTAGCAAGAACTTGGCTGAAGATGTCAGTGTATAATATTTTGAGCCATCTGATGAAATTAGGCCCAAAACCAAACTTGTGAAGAACTTGGTAAAGAAAAGACCAGTTTACACGGTCGAAAGCTTTTTGCTGGTCAAGAGAAATAAAAAGTGAATTTAATTTCCTCTCGTCTGCGTAAAAAACAAGGTCCCGTAAAAGCCGGGAATTATCGTGAATGGAGCGCCCTTTGACCCCGCAGGTCTGAAAAGGGCTAATGATAGAAGATAGAACTGAAGAAAGACGGTTACAAAGAGATTTAGCTAGAATTTTATAATCCACATTGAGCAGAGAAATAGGCCTTTTGTTTTGAGGCAAGGCGGGATCACCTGACTTGTCCAAGAGGGTGATAATGCCTGTTCTCTGTGAATTAGCCAAAATCTGTAAATCAAAAGAAGTGTTAAAAACACTAAGCAAATCTGGACCAATGAGGTCCCAGAAGGTGAAATAAAATTCTTTAGGCAAACCGTCGCTGCCGGGGGATTTGCCGTTCTGCATACCCCGCACAGCAGCGTCGAGTTCACTAGACAAAAGAGGAACTTCAAGATTATTAATATTCTCTTCGGAAAGAGTATCAGAGATCTGATCTAAAAAGAAGGATTGGAAACTGTCAACAGTTTCATCCCTCGAGAACAAAGAAGCATAAAAATCTTTATAAATATCTACAATTTCTGAGGGCGAAGAAGAGACAGTCCCGTCAGGGCGCTTAACTGAAGAGATAGAAGAAGCTTTTTTATGATTAAAATCTGTCTTGAAGAACTGGCTGGAGGGGTGCTCTCCCTCATTCAGACGATGAATGCGGGATCGCACCCTCGCTCCTTCGGCTAAAAAATCATCTAATTCAGAAAGAGAAAGTTTAACTTTGTTATATTCAGCAAGAAGGTTCTCATCCTTGCTCCCTTGGTTCAGAAGGGAAGTGATCCGCTCAAGATGAGAAAGAAGACGATCTTTCTCCTTTTTTCTGGTCTGAGAAAGACGGCAAGAGTGGGCTATAATTAAATGTTTGCTACGAAGCTTCACATCCTCCCACCAATCCAACTCGTTATCAAAACCTTCTTTGAGCGTTCGCCATCCTAAATAGGCTGTCCTAAAAGCTTCTTGAAAGATCACATCTGTTAAAATGGAAGTATTACATTTCCAATATCCTCTTCCTCTCTTAGGAAGAGAGGAAGGGTTAAAGTTAAAAACAACACCATCATGGTCTGAGAAGTAGACAGGTACATGCGAAATGGTAATAAACTTCAAGGAATTAGTAATATAAAATCGGTCCAGCCGACTGCGAATGGTATTTGAGGCATTTCTCCAAGTAAAATATCTATCATCAGGATAGGTGGTCCTCCAAGGATCCATCAGATTAAAATCGTCACACATTGAACGAAGTTCCTGGTGACCGATGTCGCAGGTGACAGAAGATGTACCTATTCTGTCCAGAGCAGAATTAAGTACACAATTAAAATCACCCGCCAAGATGAATGGACAATTCCCAGTAAAGTACTGGGAAAGATTATTGAAAAAATTCTTTTTATGAAGGGGGTCATTAGGAGCATAGACTGAAATCAGTCTAAAGCGACCACCTGACCCATCTAAAAAACAGCTAGCAATTCTCCCTTGCAAATCACTTTTAAAATCTGACAGTTTAAAAGAAGAACGTGGATTTAAAAGAATGGCAGTGCCACAAGAAGAAGAAGTACCGTAACTGGCTAAAATGTCCCCTTTCCACTCCGATTTCCAGAGTTGCAGATCTTCGGGGCCAGTTATATGGCACTCCTGCAAAAAACAAACGTCATAATCAAGACAAAGGTGAAAAACTTGGTGGCGCTTGTGAAATTCACGCATGCCATTTACATTAAGGGTAAAAATAGTAATCATTAGGTTAAAAAGGAAGAATGCCTGGAGAAATGCCATTTAATTAAGGGAAAAATTTATATGAATTTCTTGAAGAAACCCGCCTGTTTCAAGATGGCGTCAGCAGCGTGTCTCCGGCAAATGTGCCGGCTCCACCTGCCTGGCGTATATGCTTTGAACTTGCACCAGGGACACTTAAGTTGAGTAAGTGTGGTGTCCTTGTGCACCGATGAGGCATGTCTGACTAGGCCAGACCATGCGGGACAGGTAAAAGAACAGGACGAAACTTTGCATCTTGCTGGCTTGCTGATACCAGGGAGATTCAGCGAGCTAATATGTTTTGTACATTTTTCTGTCTTCACAGGGTCCACTCCATCGACCTCGTTGGCGGTGGAATCGCCCTCGGACTCGACATCCGACGAGTCAGATGACGAGCCAGAGGAGGAGGAGGAGGAGTAGGAAGAACCAGAAGAAGATACTGCTTTTTTCCCTTTTGGTTTTACCTGATCTTGCTCCATTGACGAGTCGCTGGAGCCAAAGAGATCCGAAGCAGAAGGAGCAGGTTTTTTGCTGGCAGGAGCGTCCGGCGGTGATCGGGTCCGTTTTGCGGAACCCTTTCTCTTCCGAACAACTCGAAACCCGTCGTCCTGAGCAGGGGCTACCACTTGTCTGCAAATGTTCCTGTCACATACGAGGGAGGGTGGACCATTTGTGCCCTTACAAAGGGCGCACTCGAGAACTCTGAAAGATTCAGGAAGAAGAGAACCTTTGCATGAAAAACAAACAATGCTAGAGTGAAAAGGCCCGGACATTTTCTTACACTTGGGACATTCTTTGGCGGGAAGTTGTTGTTCATCCGCCTCACTCACGCTAAGTCTCTCCCCTGCTGGCTGTGGTGGAGGAGGAGGAGGTGGAGCCGTAGTTGATTTACTCCATCCTCTCTCCGGTTGTACTTTTCTGGCGAAGGATTTGGGGCAGGCCCGAAAGCCATGCCCCTCCTCCTCGCAGATGGTGCATTTTGTACTATTTGGGCACTCATTTGCCACATGGCCGACCTGCAAGCATTTAAAACACTTTATGTTATTGCAATCTCGGGCATAATGTCCTTGTTGGCCACAACGGGCACAAGTTCGGACTTGCCCGGGATAGGAAATCCAGGCATTACGATCCCCTATCCTAATTACTGTTGGAATGGCGGAGGTCACCTTCATCCTGTACTGCCTGGTACCATTAAATACAGTGGGGTTGTCCCCATACGTGGTGAATCTCCCTGCGAGAACTTGGCCAAACTTGCCTAGGATGTTTCTAACAATGCTGTCATGGATGGCCATACTGACATAATGAACTGTAACAATGACAATGTCATTAAACTTGGTGACAGTGCACCCATCTATGTCTGCTACTTTAGGATAAAATTCCTTACAAACCTGAGCGGTCTTAAAAACAACTTCAAATTTATTCCCTTGTAAGGGCTGCATCGCCGACAAGTGTTGAGCTGCCTCAATGCCTATTCCTTTGAACTTGTCAAAGACCGACTTCGCTGACGTAACATCTTCAAACCTAACCTCCAAGGCCTTGTCTTTATGCCAGACGTCGGCCATGGTGATCTAGGATACTCTCTTCTAATAGTAAAATGGAAAAACAGAGAAAAATATAAGGCGTCAGTCACAGCTGCTGACTGACGAAAGAAGTAACAAAAATTAAGCTCCCGGGCTATCTGCGCGGGGAAAGGACGTTATGTATATACACCTGGAATAAGGGGCGTAGCTACTCGCTACTACTATAAAATTTACCCAAAAAAAAATGCTCCCTGAGCTACCTGCTCAGGAAAGAATTAAATGGAGTAATATACAGAATGGGGGCTACAGGGACTATATATATATCTGAGCAACTTGCTCAGATGGGACGGAAATGTACAAAAAAAGAAAGCCTATACTACGGTCCTCAAACAAAATGGCCTATAGACTACTATATAAGAATTACACGGGGCTACGCACTGCCACAGCCCCACGTAAAGCTACGGTATGGGAGCCGCACGCTGCTACGGCTCCGAACAAAAGACTAGAACAAAAGAGAACTGCAATAAAAGAAGGTGCTGTCGTGTGGCGTACTCCGCACACACGAGGCAGCAAAAAATGGAACTAAAAACCCTTCAAATGTCTCTCAAAATGCAAAATATGAAAAAATAAAGATGACTACAATAATCTATGTTCACTTATCTAACAGTTGGTGTAGGTTTGGTCTCAGGTGGGACCTCCACTCTCCAGTTTTTGAAGATAGATCACGGAGCTGCAAAAAAGGCGTTCTGGAAGAACAGATACTACACATGATCTTAGCCAAAAGGCCGAGAAGCGATAACGATTAATATTAAAACAATAGCGCGGAAAGGGATTATTCGTCTTGAAATACTGTTTGCTATTGTTCTTCTTATTATTTATTTTTGCCTTTTTTTGTTTCCTGGTGTGAAAACAAAAAAAAAGACTCCTGCGCGTCCACCGCAACTCAACGAAACCAGGGGAGAGAGAGATGAGCAAGAAATCTCCGGCTTTCTCAGATTAACAGAGACATATACATTCTTAAAAATATTTCTATCATGCATTTTCATACACCTCGATCATATTTCACCCAAAATCTTGTTGAAAAAATTAATCCAGACAAAAAATGGGATCAATGCATCAGTGAGCGAGAGCGTCGGCACTAAATGCCGTACGTACGATGTACCGGGACAAGCATATCAATAGATGGCGCCCTTCAACACTCCCGGTCATCGCGCCTCGGCGTTTCCCATCTGGGTATTTCTCAGGGCCTGCCAATGGGTCCCACATTAGGGGCGGGGAAATACTTCAGTTTGTCAGTAAGCTCCGTGGCCGAGTGGTTAGAGAGCACATGTAGAAAGTAATAGACCGTGGGTTCGAGTCCCAGCCTGCCGCTTTCCTTTAATTGCTTGGTTATTGTTTTGTTTTGTTATTTTTTCACTTACTTATTTCCCCTTTTTGTAATAATTACTATTTTATTTCATTGATTTATTGTTTATTTCGTCATGAAGTTATAAGAAGAAAATTCGAAAGAAAAGAAAACATTCGTCATACCGTTTTCATTTGCGCTTATAATACTTATGTATCAATATCAATGCGGTCCCGCGGGGAGTTAATTGAAGAGAGAGAAAGAAAGAAAAGAAACAAACGGGAAACAAATGTCAACGCACCATTATTTGTCCATTTTTGTAACCTTTGGTGAATAAGTCATTCACATTCTACATGAGGCAACATTTAAGACAATGCATATACATACATGTATGGCTAATGTACTCAGCCGGCCGGCCGGTCACATACGCAGTGCGTAAAATTTTGCATAATGATTAAGTTAAAGGACACAGTGGGAATTCTATCTGGAACAGTGTTCTATTGTTTATAAAAAAAATTAGAGAAATTGATTTCGGCTATGAGTGAAGGTAGAGGTGGAGTTAGACAGGCAGCGACAAATCTCTTTTTTGAAGGTTGTGGTGGCTCTGAAAAGAGCCTTTTGGGTTTGTGGATGCAAAGTAAGTTCTTTTCTTTACTTTGACACTTTGGCGGTCTTCTTGGGCAGAAGAACTTGCTGGATGTTGGGAAGGACACCACCCTGCGCGATGGTAACTCCGCTCATCAACTTGTTCAACTCCTCGTCGTTGCGTATAGCAAGCTGCAGATGGCGGGGATTAATTCTCGTCTTCTTGTTGTCTCGTGCAGCGTTTCCGGCCAGTTCCAAGATCTCCGCGGTAAGGTACTCCATCACTGCCGCAAGGTAGACCGGTGCACCGGCACCGACACGCTGGGCGTAGTTGCCCTTACGCAGAAATCTGTGAACACGACCCACGGGGAACTGGAGTCCCGCCCTGGAGGACCTGCTCTTGGCCTTGCTTCTTGCTTTGCCGCTCTTTCCTCGCCCAGTCATCTTGACAGTATAGTGACAGAAGATGAATGTACTCTGCAGTAAAGGTGGTGTGTGAATGAACCCACTTGGAAAACACAACACTAGTTATAGCGTTCTGGTGGATTGGCTGAAGCGTGCCAAGTAGCCAATCACGCGACACGGGCGTGCCCGTCGCACGGTTGGGTGCACCGCATCCATTTTGGACGCGGGGGACGAGGGAACAAAAAATTACAACTGTGTCATCGTCGTTCAAAGTAATGGAATCACTAGATAAAACACAGAAACATGCAACATTCTTACCTCCATTTTAAGACGTTTTATTGTTATTCCGCCGAAGAAGTCCCATGATCTTTCGACCAGCCTCCGCACAATGGCAGTGATTCGTTGCTCTCACGCGGCGGTTAAAACTGGCCTCGGTTTCTTGCTAGATATTTGTAACATCCCACAGACGAAATCCTAATTTATTTTTTAATAGTAACCCACTCAACAAAATGCAAGCACTCGTCCGGAGATTGAAAGAAATGACCAATTGAAAAAGGCTGTGGCATAAATTAAATTATGTGTTTACGACGACGACAAGACTCAGGGATTAACTTTAATCGCATTACCTCCCCTCGCCTCACGAAGGGTAAAAGCATATTAAAAAAAAAGAGAGAGAGTGAAAGGGACACAACAGAATAAAAAAAGGTTAGTTGTAAAACCTAAGAAATGGGCTGATCGGGCGAACTGAGCTGACTGGCAAATCTCTTTTTGGAAACTGTGTTGGCTCTGAAAAGAGCCGTTTGGTTTTGAAGCCTTCAAAATTTCTATTTTGAAGTCGTGTACTTGGTGACGGCCTTGGTGCCTTCGCTGACTGCATGCTTAGCAAGCTCCCCGGGAAGAAGTAGGCGTACTGCTGTCTGCACTTCACGGCTTGTGATGGTGGACTTCTTGTTGTAGAGAGCGAGGCGAGAAGATTCGCTGGCGATGCGCTCAAACACGTCGTTGACAAAGCTGTTCATGATGCTCATTGCCTTGCTCGAGATTCCGGTGTCGGGGTGCACCTGTTTCATCACTTTGTAGATGTAGATGCCGTAGCTCTCCTTGCGACGCCGGTGCCTCTTTTTGTTTGCGCTAACCGGACCCTTAGTATTTCCGGCCTTCTTCTGACCTTTTCCGCTAACTTTGGGAGCCATATTGGAGGACTTGGAATGTATCGGATCGTGAGATCGAATGAAAGACCAGCACGTCTTGGCCGGCTTTTATTGTGCACAGCTTGGATTCTGACCACCCATGCATCGTCCACTTTCCCGCCAGTGACCGCTAACCCATGCGTGAAGAAAGCGGTATGCGTGCATAGTTATACAATGCACGCACGGCACGACCCCCCCCCCCCCCCCCCCCTCCCCGGCAAGGGTATTTTTAGCCTTTTTCTCAGACTGACACGTGTATAAGTGTCCTTCTTAAATATTATTGTCTACTGAATTTCTGGGAAATAATAAAGTCATCTCCAGCGGAGGGCGAATTAATATGTCGTAGTGCACCAATACTTCTTTAAATGTTGTTTCCCCCTTATGCACCATCCATTTATAATGAATCATACAATGTAACGCAAAACCGACGAAAATAAGAGAACGAGTACCTGTAATTGTCAAAACAGATAGGAAATATATATCATTATTACCATGCCCATAACAATTCAATTTTGCCTGGAACACGTTTCGGATGAGGCATACGTATAGAACCCAAAAAGTGGAATGTATTTGGACAGAATATCAACAATAATAATTCGGAAAAAAATCAACGGCCCTTTATTCTTTATTTGAAGGAAAACTCAGGGATTGGACTTAATCTCTCTTTGAAGAAGTAGTGGCTCTGAAAAGAGCCGTTAGTTTTATTTCTTTTTGCGCACACAACGTGCTCAAGCTCGTTCACCCCGAATTCGGCGGGCCAACTGGATGTCCTTGGGCATGATGGTGACCCTCTTGGCGTGAATGGCGCACAGGTTGGTGTCTTCGAAGAGGCCGACGAGGTAAGCTTCGCTCGCTTCTTGCAATGCCATGACGGCAGAACTCTGGAATCGCAGTTCAGTTTTGAAATCCTGTGCAATTTCACGCACAAGTCTCTGGAATGGCAGCTTTCGGATCAGCAGTTCGGTGCTCTTCTGGTAGCGGCGAATCTCACGGAGGGCGACGGTTCCCGGTCGGTACCGATGGGGTTTCTTGACACCGCCAGTCGCCGGTGCGCTCTTGCGGGCCGCCTTGGTGGCCAACTGCTTCCTGGGGGCTTTCCCCCCGGTGCTCTTTCTTGCCGTCTGCTTGGTGCGCGCCATGGTCAAGGGTATGGTTTGATGAACGGTGATCACAACTGAGTGCAGATTGAGCGAACGGACCCCGCCTCTTAAGGCCGGCGCATAGCATCCTAGGTTGGAAGCCTAACAATGGGCTATCTTCCGATTGGGTGCTTCGGGGGCCAAGCGGAGACGCTTCAGTGATCACGATTTCCGTACGTTGAAAAAGTATAGACGTTAAATTTCAATCGAAAATGCTGCTTTTCCGAGCCTATAGTATTATGAGCCCTCGGCAACAGAATCCATTTGGGATCGTTGTGACTACAATATTTCTCCCACCCCCTACTTGGGATTAATTGAACCCCAATAAACACCCCCTCCCCCACCCCCTAAAAGAAAAGTGACAAACATACGGATTTCCCTGGCTGCTGTTTATGTTTGTTTTGTAATAAAGACAATAATCACACACACCCATTCGCGAACAAAATGTCACGGATCCCTCTATACGTTCCCCGCTATATCCTGAGACGAGCACCCAGTAATTATTACTTAATCGACTTTGACAAAAAATGGAGACCAGACATGTTTTACAGTGGAAATAGGGAGGGGAAAAGCAACTCTAAGAACACACATGACAAGGACAAGTGAAATCGAGTAAAATCAAGATTCAATCTCTTTTTTGAAATAGTGGTGGCTCTGAAAAGAGCCGTTCGGTTTGATTTTTGAATATGGTGTCTAGCCGCCGAAGCCGTACAGCGTGCGTCCCTGTCTCTTCAGCGCATACACCACGTCCATTGCAGTGACAGTCTTCCTCTTGGCGTGCTCGCAGTAGGTGACTGCATCGCGGATAACGTTCTCCAGGAAAACCTTGAGGACTCCGCGGGTTTCTTCGTAGATGAGCCCGGAGATACGCTTGACTCCTCCGCGGCGGGCCAGCCGACGAATGGCTGGTTTAGTGATTCCCTGGATGTTATCTCGGAGAACCTTGCGGTGTCGCTTGGCACCCCCTTTGCCTAGTCCCTTTCCTCCTTTGCCACGGCCAGACATGTTTGTGTCTCCTCAGTCGGTTGTAGATGATTCAATGGCCATCCCAGCCCCGGCGAGGCAACTTATAGGACATGCGCGGACGCGATATGAGCATGCGAAGCCATCAACTGTTACGGCGCCCTCTGGCGAC